CGAAAAATCCTGATAGGGAAGAATTGGTCGTTGGCTCTGCGTATGGGAATTTTGGGAAAACAAAAGTAAGGTGAATTTAAGAATCGACGATTCGTAGGATCAGCGAGAGGGTTCAGATGCGATTTGCCTCGTAAATTGCACCCAGTTGATCAAGTGGAGAATACATCGCAAGTCGTTTTCGCGGATTTCTTCTCCAGTTCTCCTTTTCTCCAGCTCGGAGCTAGCTGCCAGAGTACACTCTAGTTCTCTGCGGACGGTTGGGCGTGTCAGCCAGTATGAGTGTGTCACCCTATCAAAGCCGTTCTCTGCCTTCTTGTTGAAGAGCGCATGCGACAAAAAGTGGTAGAAGACGAGTAATACGAAGGATATGATACATTGCTGTGCGATGTGGGCCCGGGGAGATGGATCGTATACAGTTAGTGGGGGTGTGTTATTTGGCCTAGAGAAAAATTTTATAGGATTGTTGATTTTTTCCCCGTTTGTCGTACGTTTTATATTCCTCCCATTTCAAGCTGTCGGCGCCGCACGGCGAATTTACTAACTTTGGTGGTTGCCAACCGCACTCCCCCTCTCCTACCCATTACTCATGCGATGGCGAAGTCTTTGGGCAAATTGTTAAGAGCGTAGAGAGGTTGTGATGAGAGGGGATCGTACCGGGGGAGGAAACACGGAAGAGGTCGTACTCACACCGCCATTTCACCGATTCTGACGCAGAACTCTGCTATAGAGGTGGAGCTGGTGTACTGGTAAGTGGCACGATTATCACGCGCACGGTCTGGGCATCAAATCTTAGGACGGCTCCAGCTCAGGCCAATGAACCTTCTACACTCCGAGAACGGGAAAGGTACCAAATTTGCACCAGTGCTGACCTGTGCATCGGGTGGGACCCGCAAGACATTGTATAGGCTACATCGCTTCCAATAAGCCACTACGATTCTGAAAAAAGTACAATGCGTCTCAAAAGCCGATGGATTAGTGTCGAAGACTTTATCCTCTTCTAGACACTGCTATGAATGCGGCTTCAAAATTTGATGGTTTTCAACCGAGCGATAGATTTTGTTCTCTTGCAGGATTCAACTTCTGACTCTCATGGTGGAAGTAATGCTGCGAAAGCCGTCACCGCGGCCCCTGTGCCAAAAAGTGCGTTAACTGGTTTTTTGAAGTTATTTGGAAATTTAAATTGCATTTTTTCGTTGTTTTAGCTTACATTCGCATGCCCAGAAAGGGATTCCCACCAAATCCTATGCCCGAGAATTATGTGAGGGTAAGTTTTGACCTTCCACTTCTATAACTTTTCTCTGCATGTTGGTAAATGAAAGTCTGCAAGTTTAATTCTTCAAGCTGTAAAGGAAAGAGAGTGTTTTGTAGCTTGATCAAATCACTGACGAATTGTATGACAAGTTTTGCAAGGAGGTCTTGGATGACAACTTGCAGCCATGCACACCGCAAGAGCGAAAACTGCTCGATAATATGAGTTCATCGGGAGATTTTGGAGTAAGTATTACTGTTGCTGTTCTTAACTTTGATGGATTATTTTCGTCATGTAGGCAGCTGTCGACTTCTACGATGAGATTATGGGAGAATTACCAGTGGTAATGGTGCACATGCGCACTTCAAAAGTATTCCTGTCCCCATCCCTGAGGTGATCTTTGCCAGAAATGGTCATTGCAAATTTTCTTTTCGACATAAATTAACGTATTTCAGGGAGAAGTGTATCCAAAAGGTCATAGCGGTAAAGAAGACGGAAATGAATCCCATATGTGCCGCTATTGCTCATATTCAACAGCTCTTCGTTGGTTTTCCACCAGAAATACGTGTACGTTATAACATTCAGAGCACGAGCTTGTTGCGGTTTCTACATTGAAGGCAGTTGGCACGATGAATCTCCAAACGTATACGACTAATACGCCTAGCAGGACTGAATTCGGCGCCCCTGTGTAGCGCCTTTTCCAAGGAAGGTGCACTTATAGCGTCCTACCGAGCTGCAAATGCGGACACCCTTAGGCAGCGTTCATACTTGTAGCGTCGCGCTACAGCGCCGCTTCGCAACGTACTGCAATTTCCAACGTTAGGATGATTAGAGTTGCTTACAGAGAAAAGTGGGAAGGTAATAAATATGAAACAAAGAGAAGAGGGTTGAATACAGAAAGAATGAATACAGAATCCAATGCCGCTTATGGATTATGGAGCGAAATCTGCTTTTCAAATTTGCCCCCAATCTCTGCCTGGATCACAGGAAAAAGATTTATGCCGGTTTTCGAGGCATTCACAGCCAACAAAGCTTTGACAGTTTCTTGTACTTTTTTTGGCCTAGGAGCGTAAAAATGGCCTTATCTCCCACAACAGGCACGCGAACACTGTCTGGTCACCAATGCGTTAACACAAGGCAAACAAGAAGTTCCTTTATGGTTCTTCTGTCTCCGGTAAAAAAACATGCGTGCGTGTTTTTAGGTGGCGCGAGTACTCTTTGGGTGTTTTTTGCAGAAAATGCTCTTAATAGGACAGAAGGACACTGTTACGCTAAAAGCAGTACCAGAAAAATAGTGACTAATGGAGTAACTGTCAAGGATGGTCAGATAGTTACAGGCTGTATCAGTCTCACCTTTCCGTGAATTTCTTCAGAAGGAAACTTCAGCACCTTCCCCTTTTTCTCTGTAAGCAACTCTAATCATCCTAACGTTGGAAATTGCAGTACGTTGCGAAGCGGCGCTGTAGCGCTACGCTGTAGCGCGACGCTGTAGCGCTACAAGTATGAACGCTGCCTTACACGGACGCTCGCCACAAATATCAGACAGTGCTGAGCGATCTGCTTTTTCCAATACATATAAAGCGAAAGGGATAGATATGAAGTGGCTGTGGTGCTGCATGGATATATGAGTACATAAATGTAGCCCCATTTACCGTAACGGTCATTGGCAAGATGCCAACGGGGAAGTCGTCCGGAATTGCCATCTGAGTCGTGTAGCTGTAGTTTCGCTGCGGACGTGGGGCCGTGTCACTAGAATGAGTGTCTGCACACCAACAATAACCGTTCTCTGCCTTTTGTTGAAAGCGCCGCATACGCAGAAAAAGGCGCTAAGACAAGCGAGTAATACGAACGATATGATACAGCATTGTCACTTGCTCGCTTCAACAACTAGTGGGGAACGAGTTTGGCACCGCGCCAAACGCAGCCGCACTGACACGCCCAACCGTCCGCAGTGAACTACACTATAGATCAAAAAGCTTTTTGTCGGTTTTGTCCGTCTCACTTTCGTCTTTTACCTACGCTGATTAGCACCTTCTGTTACCGATTTTAGACAGAGTATTCAAATGTATCCTGCCACTGCTTTTGATGGGTCACGTGTCACAGATACGCAGTTCCTTCAACAGTTTTCAAGGCAGCGTTCAGACTTTGCGATGGCGCGCTATGACTGCAGCAGCACTCTAATCTTATACAGGCGAACGCACCAGCAGACAGGACTCGATCCACGGGGACATTTTGCACTTTTGCTACTTCCCATCAACGTGGCGAGCCACCAAATGAAGACCTGTGCAGTCTTGTGAAGCCATGATATGATACCAACCAAAAACTGTAAAGACCACTTGTCAGCACTTGAAAGAAATGAAATATCCTACGAATGCCATTGCCCATGGTGGCTCGACGAGCTCGGTCCAGCTTCACAAGAATTCAGGTTTCACCAGAGTGCGACTTGTTGACCGGAACTAGTGAAACAGCGAAAGTGCCAAATGTCCTACCCCCCCCCCCCCCTCCATCGACTTCGACTAAAAAGCGTAGCCTTGTCTGGACCCGCTGTTGTACTGCTGCTTGAGCCAATATTGACCCGACCTTTGTGAAACGTATTTGTTGAGATTGGAATGTTCCAAAACTCGTGAGGGAAAGCTTGGTTGTTGCAGTTACGACACATGTTGGTAGCTGAATTGGAAAGACAAGAGCCAGGAACATTGTCTGAGGACGATAAACGTATAATGGCACTTCCTCCTTCAGCAAGATTCACTGCTCGACCTGTATGAGTTTGTTGGAGTTTTTCTCTAGTCACCTTAGAAAAATATCTTAAACAACTTGCAGGCAGTACACCTTCGACGTTTTCCTATGCACGATTCTACACCGCCTGGACAAGAATCAGTTACGCGCAGAATCTCTTCCAGGTTTCTGAGTCCTTTTAATTTTTTAAGCCAGTTGAAAGCTAGTTGAAATTGTTACTGCAAACGGTCAGTTGACTTGTCAATTCGTTTTACATTTGTTTATTATTTTCAATTCTTTCAAGGAATTGAAAGAGTTGTTGTGAATATGCCGCTCAATTTTTGCCTATTCAGGGTTTCCAAGCCTACAGAGAGGACTATGATGGATTCAAAGGGAGACATTATCACTATCAATGCAACTCAAACACCTCCGGCAGCAGCAGTTCCGCCAAAAGTCCCTCTTAAACCAAAACGTGAGTTACCAAATTTAAAAGTTACGAGATTCAAAACCTCAGCTGCTGTTCATGTCCACTTCGCACTGTAAGAATGCGTCCATACTTTGCGGCAGCGTTTTGAGCGGTAATCGATATTTATTCATTTATATTTATTTTACAATGTAATAGTGTGCCTTAAAAGTGAGTAAAGCAAAAACCTAGCAGAATACTCATTTATGAATGAAAGCCACTATGGTGCAAGTGGGGCTTGATGGGGAGCTGGTTTTGATTTGATAACTGTACATTGTTAGTCGCTCGAAGCGCTGGTGGACGCTGTAAACGTGGGTGGACGCTCAAAATCTGGCGGAAGTTCAGATCGCTGGTTCGATACCTATACTTTCGTAGTCGCTCAAAACGCTGACGCAAAGTATGAGCACACTTTAATTGTGATCAGCTAATTTGATTGCGACTGCGATTTTTCATGATATTTGTTTTTTCCAGCGTTGTTTATAAACTTGCTGGTACCGATAGATGACGCGATTTACGACAAATTAGCGGAAGTGTTGGCAGAACGGTGCACTCTGGAGAGCGTAAGTCTCAACTGCTTTTCGGTTAATAGTGCTCGTACTGAATATCATTTTCCATTCAACATGTGGATTCCGGGAATCAATTTCGTCAACTTAGTAGTGTTGCCTACATGGCTCAAACGCGGCTATTCATTACTTACTCTGTTCTTACTGCTATCCCAACAAAAGAACTCGAGTTTCTTTACAGATCGAGGATGAACCTCTTCGTCTTGCAATCGAAAATATTAGAGACAGTGGAGAAATAATGGTAGAAGATTGGCCGGAGGAGCAGTATTTCTGTCCACCTGGACTGCGGTTACGGGTCAATGATGACATAGGGCGAATATATCTTCGTAAGAGTGAAGTTAACGAGGTACTTTATTTTCTCATGGTGTGCTTACTCAGCTAGTGTCCAAAAGCTTCACAAATTACCGTTTTCAGGTTTGATCGTTTGGTAATGCTATCGCTAGCGAAGCGTCGCTCAAAGCGTAAATATCCTTAAGTGCAGGTCGATTCTCAATATGTTGGAATTGCTACAAGAGCCAACGTGAGTTCTCATATAACAAATGATAAGATTTGTCTTAATATTGCTTAGTCATTGTTCGTGCGACCTCAGCGACGCATCCTCACGCAAAATCGGCTGTAGCTCCGCTTAGTCAGAGAAAATGCGCGAATCTGCGCTGTCGATGGAGCGGTCATTGTGCCAGTGGCGCCGAACTCCTGGACACTAAAGTAAAAAGACCTGGTCTTGATCGAGTTACCCGTCGAGCAAAGGGAGGGCTCCCAACAAGCGCTGGCTTGACTCAATGGATGACTGCAGCCACCCCGACAGGCACTCAGGTCGGGAGAAGTGACGGTCACAATCTACAAGAAAGAGCGGACTTGCCGCGTCCACAGAGCGGGATAACGATGATATTAAGCAAGGAAGAAGAATAATCGCCGAGAACAGGTGTGTCGGTAAACCTTCCATTGTTAAATGTCGCTCTTCCCCTTTACACCTCACTCTCATCGCGAAGGAGAGAGAGCCTAGGAGGCGGTAACAACCGCTCGTCAGAATCCGCTTTTGAAATGGAAGGCTGGATCTTTGCTGTAAGCTAGGAGGAGCGCTCGTCGCGACAGAGCCGCGCTTTTTGATGTGTTCCTGAGGTCGCAACAGTGCACACAACAACGATACTCAAAAAAGGCGTTTGAACATCAAATTAACGCGGATTGCGCCTTCAGTCTGCTGTTTTTCTCTGCACCTTGTGAAGCGAATATTATTGCAGTGACTTTGACTCAGATGCAAAATGTGATCGCTCGGTGGTTGCTGATTTTGGAACCCTTTCTTATGCTCTCCCTGTCTCGAGTCACCTGTCCACCACTATTACGCTTTCCCTGCCTTCGCATTCCATTCTTTTCGTACTATTTACCGTGCTGCAGGTTGTGTTCATACTTTGCGGCAAGAGAAAGGGAGAATCGATACCCTAGACACTTCGTGAGGATACGTAAAAGGGATAGATGAGAAAAACGGTCGGCTGAGGTCACTAGCGATCTACACTTCAAGAGAATGCACATCCTCCCAGATCGAATCGCCCGTTTTCCTATCGTTCCAAGTCGCTAGACTGATACATACTTACCCTTAGTTCTGTGACGCGCGTTTTGTTGAACTTTCGAGTCACCGACCCGTCTATTCCCCTATTCTCCCGTCGCACATTATGAAGGCATTCTTACATTTGCTAACCTTGTGGTAACTTTCGCGTCGTGAACTGAGCACGCGCGAGCAAATCGAATCAGCAGTTGCTATATAATATGTAGGAAAGCTGATGTTGCAATCATGGTTAGAAGTAGTTTGAACGGGTTTTTAGTAGACTGATGTCTGTTTGCGGTTTTTTTTTACTTTGCCTAAACCCGTCCCTCCATTCTTGTACATTGAATTCATTTCTCTTTTCTTGTTCCTTAATCGTGCTGTAGCACATTTTTTCGATTTAAAGACTTGATTTCCGTTTAAATATTGTCAATCAACTTATGGCATTCACAGATACGGGAAGTCTCCAAGTATGACTTGCTGAAGGGATCTCGTGTTGTGTTTCCGGCGCCTCCGAGATGTATTGGAAGGAAACCGATGCAATACGTTCAGGTTTCTTTACTATCCATTTGGAATAACTACTTTCATGCTCATCTGTTGTTATCGTAATGCTTGCCTCACCGGGCCTCTTTTCAAAATCAAGTCAAAAAAAGGCAAATTTTGCGTCCTACACTTTCAGCAACACCTAATCTTATTTTGTTTAGATCGATATTCTTGTGATGGAGGAAACCATGTATGGAGAGCGATCGTACAGTCAAGCACTTTTTCTCACAGATTTGTACTCAGGCTACACGTTTGCTCGAGCCTTGACTGATAGCCCTGATCTGGCTATAATAGTTCGTCATGTAATGGATATTTTCGGATCATTTGGCCCACCAGGTGAGAACACATCTTTATTCTATCCATTCTGGTCGAGGTAAGACATTTTTTCAGAGGTGTACCGAACATATTCGGCAGAGTACTCGCATATAATAGCAGATGTCATGCTGGATATTGAGAGACTCTTCAAAGTGCCCATAAAAAATATGGGCGTTGGGGTAGGGGTTTTCAGAAGATTCTCGTCTGATTCGTTCGTTTTCTGCCGTAGTTGTGACAGTTGTGGATAAAGCCACTGTTTTTCAGGGAGATTTGACTCGGGAACTCGTCCGATCTCTATATCGACGTGCTCATACTGAATTGATGGCCACTAACCGTTGGGTGGAGGCTCTACCGTTTGCGGTTATCGAGCAAAATCAGCGCCCATCCAAGTTCTTCGATCCGAATAGGACACCATTCGAGGTCAGCAGATTCAGTAATTTTTTCTTTTCTTCTTCTACCTTTCTTTTTTGAAGCCTTGCACGATCAGCAGGTCCGTAGCCGTAGAAGAATATTCTCTCCACTATCCAAAGAAATGAAATTGTAGGGTTGTGATAACTAGATGTACTGCAAGATTATGGGTTTAGGAAGTAGACTGGGCACAGTACCCTCACAAATCGCGCGTGAAATTGAATGTCGGCTCCGCATGCATGCGCATAGCATAAGCCAGTTTGATTGCCCTGTGTTGTACGCTTTCTGCATAGCTTCATTGATGTTCGTTACATCATTGATTCGAACTCGTACTCGCACAGGAAGGGCGGTAGGGTAAGTTCCATGGTGGGTCAGGGGCGAGAACGACGCTACTTCCGTTTTCTACTTGCAGCCGTGGTCTGCCTAGGCGTAAACTGAGTAGTGTCGGTATACTTGCCGCTCCTTAGCTTTACGCGCAGTTTGGAGTGTGTCCCACCTCTTTTCTTGAACTTACAATTTAGTAGAAGTACTTAGTGTGTATCGGTTGCCGTTAGAAACTGGGCGGACTTATGGTCAGCACAGACGCGGAGCACGCTGCACCACACACGTTTTCTGTCTGCTGCCTTCTCACGTTTTGATAGTACGCCAACGTTATACATTTCAACTCCGGTAGCGCCATCACGTTAACCGAAGGAATTTGGTTGCCCTGATTACGCGCGAACTAGCTGGCGACATGCCCTCAATGTATAAAATCGCGAATCATGTAGGGGATGTGTGCATGAAGGTCCAGCTATCGCAGCTCTACAGCTTCATTGCCGGGACTTTTTCAAGTGCTGGTTCAGACTTCGCGACGGCAATACTTTGGTCGCGCGTTCGACGCGACCGATGCAGTCGAAAACATGCGCATCGGTCGCCTCGAAAGCGCGACCGAAGCGGTGCTACGCGAAGTTGAACCGGTGCCTAATGCGATGAACCTGTCCACCTCTCACATGGGGCCTTATGCTATCCATCCGAGGATAGATGCCTTCTCTATGAATGCCCCTCGTCTCTGCTTCTGCCTTTCTGCATTTTCCCCCTCTCCGTAGCGACATGTAGACATGATGGCCGAGAGTGGAGACATTTATACTCTGCGCTTTAATTCATTCAGAGCGGGCGCCAGACGAGTATGGACGCGAGCGCCGAGAGTCAAATAGGAGAGGGGCATCAGTGGAGATGAGTGGAGGGTTACTGGGAATTTCTTTCTTAGAGTGGAAGTGTAGCATGGAGTATAGCATAGTATAGCCCCCGGAATGTCGAATGTAGCTTTGAACACGCCTATTACAGATAATGTTTGCCCGTCACGCATGGAGAGACGAAGCATGTCCACCGTGGGTAGACCCAGCTTCATCAGGTACCATACATAATCATGCTGATTATGTTTTTCTATCATATGTTTTATTGTATTTAATGTGGTACGGTAATGGATTTCTTAAAAGAAGAAATGGAGTTGGATCGATCAAAGCCAGCAAAGAAGGAAAAGAAAGGTTTCTTGGTGAGTAGGATCTTTATCAGAGATTCCCAGTCACTTGCTCTGTACTGTGTAGCTAGGATCCATTGCATTTTAGTGACTTAAACTTTGCCTCCATTGCATTTTAGTGACTTAAACTTTGCGTTGATCCGCGTTTATACTTTTTACTGCACGCGACACTGCAAAATCAGAGAACTGTGGAACGTGCGCCAAAGGATTACATGCGAATCGATTGACTTCGCCCGCTAACGACTCAGGAAAATCGAAGGATGAAAAGATTGAAAACGATCGTTCCCATTCTAATCCTTTGGAGCGCATTCTCCTGTTCCTGTCTCTGATTCTCTGTTGACACCAACTATGGATGTGGTTCAGGAAACCTCGTACTCTGGGGATGCCCAGCAAGACAAGGGGGCTTGGTCACTGAAGGGGACGCCGGTGAACTTTTTCTGGTTTTTGATCTGTTCTGTTTCACACGAGCTATACTCCCTCCCACCACACTCGCCGGTGACGCAGCACTTGGAACTTTTTTCTGGTCAGATAGTTGACCAGGTGGGCTCCCTCCTCCTAAGGTAAATGTTTTGGCTAATGCCGTTTGGACTCCAGAAATTTCGGCACCGAGCTCATTTTTAAATTGCCTAAGTCACCAAATCCGCTAAAAACTTGTATATAGGGGTAGTTTAACATCCTGATTAAGAATATGACATTCACTCTTGTCGCTGGCGCTAATGGATGACACTACGATTATCTGCGCTCTGCTAAGGCTGAGCCCAGGAGGTAATCGTAGTGTCCTCTCTTGGCGCCAGCGACAAGAGTGAATGTCATATTCGTAATCAGGATGTTAAACTACCCCTATATACAAGTTTAGCGGATTTGGTGACTTAGGCAATTTAAAAATGGGCTCAGGTGCCGAAATTTCTGGAGTCAAAACGGCATTAGCCTAAATGTTTGAGAAAACTCGGTATACATAGCGTGGGTGGAGGGTGTCGTACCAGAGGAAGGGTGGGGGGTCGAACTTTGGAAAACTCTCCCTAGAGTTTGTGAGTCCTTTCTTCACCTATTTTACACCGTTCATGATCTGATCTTCGTGGTATCTAATTGTGCGAGGTGAGCGCGTTAATAACAGGTGCTGTAGTAGAGTCTTTAATGACAGCACAGAAAATCCTTTGTGTCAAATTTGCCGTCAGTCCGTATAAAATTTTCTCGTCACGATTTTGACCCTCCTTCAAGGTTGTTCAGCATGTGTTTCAATTTTTTTTTACGAATTTAATAACCATAAGTGAACAAAACAACATCATGATGTTAAGGACACTGGGACGGATGACAGCGGAGCCCCTCATCTGGATTCAGTGAAGGATTTGAAGATGTACGCCAATTCCTTAGTGATGAGTCGAAAAAAGGTTAGTCATTTGTTATGCTTTTACGGGTAGTTGGCTTAGGGAACATGCGATCATTGTTTTCCTTGTTCTTTATTTTTCCCATTTTTTTGGTGCAAATTTAGCATTCTGTTGTATGTATGTATAACATTTTGTACAAAATCTGGTTTGAATAGTTGTTCTTCAGTTGAAACAACAGGTGCTACCGATTTATGTACCAGTTTACAACGAAGATGGGAAGTTGGTCAATCCTGGCACCGGTTATCTATACCAAGTTTTCGACCGTATTTATGTGAGTTTCTGGATCTTCTAGTTGACTGTTACAGTGTGCCCCACAGGTGAATCCTTGTTTCCATTAAAGGTACGAAATCCTCATTACAATGTCGATTTTCGGACGTCGAGGAGTAGAAGCCATGTAGCTCGTTATTATCGCGGTATTATTGTTGATATAGATACGGACCTGGTGGACTCAATGTACAAGGTAAAATACATGTTACTTTCTTTCCTTCACAATTTCTTCCCAGTTATTTTGTCTGTCTTCATTAAGATACATGATTGCAGGTATTGTACTGGGAGGATGATCCGCATGATGTTGATGCTATGAGTGCGTCAGAATGGCCTGCTGCTGATGATAGTACGTTTTTACTCCGAACTAGTGTTCTGCAGTGCTTGAAAGTGTTATATCGAACGCCTGCTGTTATTTGTTATTCTTATTGTAATGTAAAAACCTTGTTAAGCCTACGATTGTGCGTCGTCGTGGTTTGGTCCATGGGATGTGACTGCCTCAACTGCTCATCTGGCCAAATTACGCTCTGTAGCACGTAAGCTTCTTTTCTGAACATTGCTAAGGGCAGTACTGCTGTTCAGTGGCATGCTAACAGCATCCCTTCAATGAAGACATTTCAACCTTTTCTAGATATTATCTGTTGCTATTTATACATGCCCTCCCTCTTGCGACCCCTATTTTGATTGTTTTCTTGGAGCCATTCCTGCATCTGTTTCGGTTCCGAAAGGTAAAGTAACCCAAAGTTGGCAGAACGGGGGTAGAGTTGGGTTGGTTCACCCATCTTGAAGCTCCTTCTCTCCCTAGGCAGAGTTCTTCACTTACTTTAGCAACAGCATTGCACAAGTAGTCCGTCAAAGACCACCCCTCCCAAGGCGAAAAGTGCCGAACTTACTTGCTCGTCATCTGTTTTCCTACAGAAGAATTCTTGCTGATTTGCTTTGCATTTGCATTTGCAGTGATTGATTTCAGCGGAGTTTTGTACTGATCACATTGCAACAAAGAGAAGAACCATCGATGCTCGATGCCGATGCGACAGTCCAAGTTGTACAGGGTTTGCGCACATGAAATGTCAGAGGAAGTACTCTACCGAATGTTGTTTGAAGGTATAACTGCTTTCCAAGTCAAATTTTGTTCCTATTCTTTTATATTATACTTGGTTCAGAGTTCTTATGAATGTGCTTTCCATAAGCCAACGGATCGCTACCAAGAGGTCAGTTTTGGGTTTCTCATGCTGTTTTACTGGGTGTAGTATAAACCGATGGTCACTTATGAAGGAGAACTACTAAAACTATTGTAGGTACACCATTCGCCCGTAACTACCGGTAACTCATCACAATTCATGTTCCAGCATCGTCAGTCAAGAGCTCCCGAAAGGTACGGACCCTGAGGTTTTACTTTTGAAATGGATAGGTGCTGCAGCGCATGCTTACTGGATCTGATTTGATGATTATATTTCATGCGGAAACCCTTTTAATTTTTAGAGTTGATCCTTCCCCAGGCCAATCTTCTCAGTGGCAAAAACGGTAAGATTTGAAGTTTTATGTTATGACCAGTTTGACTGACTCGCACAACTGCGCGCATGGTTCAGTCTGTGGTCCTGATCACTGACAGGATTTCTGTGCTGACCCCTAACACTTGGCCTAATTCCCATGTTTCAAAATTCGGCCCATTTCATCATATTTCTCCTCTTTAATGAGCATTTGCCAATGTCTGGTGCTTATCACATTTCTAAAAACACAGACCATTCGTTGGGAATAGAACAGCTCAGCGGTTGAAAGAGTTTCGATGGTAACAATATCGAAATCATAGTGGAATCATGTATCACCTGTGCTCCCGTTGATCACCGAGTTCCTCGAGAGGGCGCCAGTAACCTGTCAACGTGCAAGAGTTGCCCAATGAACTCTCTCTGCTCGAGGGACACTCTTCATCATACGTCGTGGTTCGTTAGTAGCTTATCACGAACGTAAGCTCTACCATCGAATAGACGGTCGTCCAGGCGTTCGCTTGACATCCCGTGGAATCCAGTCGGTGATCACTCTGGTCCAGCGGTCGTCCTCGAAACGCATGACGTGCCCGGCCCACCTGATCTCGACCTTTGGCAAATGCGCGGGCGGACTCTGATTCTTCGATCGTCGGTGCGATGCGGAGCTCGCATTCGCCTCTCTCACGTTGCGTTAAGTCGGGAGACTCCGCAGCATTGCCCTTTCAATGGCGCGTTGAAAGAAACGCCGGATCAGCATTGGGCTCATCTGCTTTCGTAGAGTCCAAGTCTCTGAGGCGTACGTCAAGGCAGGAAGGACCGCGGAATCGAAGAGGTGGGCACGGAGCTTGGTGTTCTTCGTCTTCTTCGCTACTCCCTCGATGTTCTTGAAGGCTCCCAAGCCGCTCGCTTCCTCCTGCTCAGCTCTGGAGCTAAGGTCATTCATCATATTGATTTCACGACCTAGGTACACATAGCTAGAGCATTCAGAGATGGTCGTTCCGTTGAGCGTGAATGGGACATCAGACAATCGACTTTCTCTGGACAGCGTCTTACGTTTAGGTTCAGCCGTAAGACGATTTTTCCACCAAGCGCAGCATCGCAATTTCAACGCAGGCTTCGTCCGCTTGCTCGATGTTGGCGGGCTGATCGAAACGATGTCAGTCAGCAACAGCGGAGATGGTTTAGTTTGCCGATTCGTCAACCGGTCACTACACGTCATGTCCGCATTCCATTTGGACGCTAACAGTTCCTCGCAGAGAGGCGAATGAATAGCTTCGGCGAGATGGTGTCGCCCTGTCGGACCCTCTCTTCACCTCAATGATGATCTCCTTGTAGAATGGTGAGATCTTGGTCGTGAAGTTGCTGTAGAGCCGATACACTACCGCTCAGAGAATCATATGCCGCAAAATTTTGAAGTGCTTTCGAGTTACACCGCGTCAGGACGAGTATAATCATAATGAACTCACGGCAACAATGTGCAGAGTTGTCTGTTGGCCTTTTCCTGGATGACACACCTTACAACCAGCACACTTGTGTGGAGAACCTTGTTTCCGGAAATGTTCACGTCTCGTTGCGTTGATACAGATGCAAAACTGTTGCCGCAATGAGGATCCGAACCGAGTCCCGCATTGTCGTGCCATCCAGAATCCATCGTGCTATCCGCTACGCCATCCGATCCGCCAGCAATGTTCATGAAGGGAGCGCTGACAAAAACATCACTCTTGCGTCGGTGCATGCCAAGTGTGTTACCACATGATACTTACATTTTGACTTTAATCGAATCTATTTTGAGGCCTGAATTAGTGACCACCTCATAAACTATGCATGCTCGAAGTTACAAGCAGAAAGGAAGCATAGGGTGTTACAACCCCATTCTTGTCCAAATTCTTTTTTCACTCGGATTTTGGCCTCCCGAACCAGAAACGGCTAGTAATGAACCCATTTTCTGTGATCCCTGTATGCCCCTACACAAGCAACAAACCATTTCCAAAAAGGCGCCACGACCTGAAAGACCTCCCTTGTTAGTTCTTAGAACCGACGTCCCGTTGTTGCTGGGGTCGGCCTTATGAATTAGGTGACCCTGCCCTTTTAAGGCTTCTTATGGTATCTTATCAGCTGTTTATCACTCCCTGAAACCCACCAATATTCGTTTCCATCCTGCGGCCTTACTCACTTTAGCAGTTTGAATTCGTTTCGGGCTGTTTTTGAAGGAAGTACAAATTTCCACGTCAAAACCCACCACAGAACACATGCAGAAACCACACACACACACACACCACACACACACCACACACACACCACCACCACACAGTCACACACACATCAACACACCAATAGACAAACTTAGCTGAATTAGCGCCAAGAATCGAACCCGTTTACCTCACCCCTTTTACCGGGCGAGTGCGCTACCGTTTACGCACAGCGGCGATTTTAACCCTCTAGCTCCAGTTTACATGCGTGACGGATCAGCCGGTAATCGTACATTAGATAGACTTATATCGGTCATATCGGCAATAAATATAAGTGTATTTATTGCCGATATGACCGATATAAGTCGCCTGAGTTACGACTTTTGACCATAACTCAGCATTCTTGAGGTAAGCTTTGAATTTACTGGCGTTTCTGTGCTATATGTTCTGCGTAGGATCAAACATGTATTCAATCCAATTGGCTGTAGTAGGCCATGGATGGGTTAATCAGCATGATTTATTAAGTTGTTCTTCAGAGCACAACACCCCGCAACTTCGACTGCTACATTGCCGGAGAAGCGATATACATTTAGGTAGGAGGTTTGAATGAAATTTCTGTTCACCTGAAGTTTTGATAAGTAGATCATAACTTGTGCACTTGCAGGGATGGAATATTGGTAGAAATATCATCGACCCATGAAGTAGAACCGCGACGAGAGGCGCCACCAGCATCGAGAAAGCGTAGATATCCAGGAATTGATGAGGTATTTTATCGAGTATGGTTGGTATGGTTTTGACTTGAGTTGATCTTGACAGTGGTGCAGGGCATCCTTTGGGCTCATATAGAGGAGATAACTTTTTTGCATGTACCCGGAGCTTTGTTTGTATCGCTTACAGCTTAGGATATCAGTAAATACTTCATTCAAAAGTGGAGCTTAGAACGTACAGTCGCGGAAAAAAAACGTGGAACAAGCTTTGAAAAGGCATTTTCATCTGTTCTAAGCTATCTAATCTCTTCTTAAACACCAGTATTAGGGTCAGAAGCTAAGAATATAATGTTATAATACAATAATATTAAAATTTTGGTTAAGCGGAGGTAGTGTAGTGGCAAGTGGCGCCACTTACCACAAGCGTGGTCTGGGGTTCAAATCCCGGATCAGGCTCCCGCCCGAGTCAACAGAGCTTTCCATGCTTGCGGGGAAAGCTAATAAGCATTAGATTCGTCTAACGTCGACTTTCACATCAGCATCCTTAAAAGTGATTCATTGAGATAAAAGCTTCGCTCTCTGGGCTTTTTTATGCAGTATTGCTTCTTACCTTTTCGCCGAACCCCAAAGTGCTGGAGTGTTCTGCGGCGTAGGCGGCGACATGGTTAGCTGTGATGTCTTGTCCCACTTGGCCCATTGAGAGGATGAACCCACTTGTCTGAGTGTTCGCTTTCTTCTTCCCTTACTTTTTCACACCTCTCAAGAAAGCTGTGTTTTTCCCAAAGTATTAGAAAATTTGAAAACGGATCCAGCATCAAGGTAGAAGCGGCGGAATTCGTCGCAGGCAGTAATCTTCAAAATTCTGTCCTGGCAACGAGTTTAACCAGTTCTATTTTTCAGATTAGCTTTTTTAGGCGTACTTAACTCAAGCAAACGAAGTTCCGAAGAAATGCATTTACCAATTGTAGGTAGAACTTTTAAGAAGCGCGCGACTTGGGACTGTTCCAAGTTTTTTTTCCGTTGCTGTAGTTAGAGGTCAGGGATGTGTGTCTAGACGTTCTCTGGCTTGACGGAGGCTTCTCTTCAGTTTTGCTTAGTGTTGTTGTAGTTGTGAATCTCAGCACTTTTTTCTCTTGCGCTTCTTTCTATGCGTTGTTGTTAGGTTCTTCTCCAGTTGTTAGGCTGCGTTTATACTTTGCGGCAGCGTAGCGTAGCGTAGCGCAGCGTAGCGTAGCGCTTCCAGCGTACGCCAGCGGCAGTGCCGAAGAGAGGATGCATATCGATCTAGCTTCACCAGCGTCACCAGCGGCACGCTGGCGTACGCTAGCGTACGCCAGCGTTTCTCCAGCGTTTCACCAGCGTTTTGCTAGCGCTTGCAGCGGCAGGGGAGTAGAGACTATGTGGCCGTGAGAGACGCGGAATCGACGTGTATTGTAGAGACCATGTGGCCGTCGGAGACGCAGAAGCGATGTGCATTGTAGAGACTATGTGGCGTCGGAGACGCAGAAGCGATGTGCATTGTAGAGACTATGGGGCCGTCGGAGACGCAGAAGCGATGTGCATTGTAGAGACTAAGGGCGAGTGAGAGACGCGCAATCGATGTGTTTTGTACCCTCCAGCTCTCCCATAGTCTCTACTCCCCTGCCGCTGCAAACGCTAGCAAAACGCTGGTGAAACGCTGGAGAAACGCTGGCGTACGCCAGCGTGCCTGGTGACGCTGGTGAAGCTAGATCGATATGCATCCTCTCTTCGGCACTGCCGCTGGCGTACGCTGGAAGCGCTACGCTACGCTGCCGCAAAGTATAAACGCAGCCTAATGGAGTGAAGGGGGGGGGGGGGTGTAGCAGGAGGATGAGTGTGGGATTTTCGAGATCTGTTGTACTAAGATGGTATAAGGCCAGACATTCCAAATGCTATACTACGGCGCAGGCAATGGCGCACTTTTAAGAGATCCTCCCCCCCCCTCCCCGTTCAGAAATTGTGATTGGTACGGCTCCCGTATTAATGACAAGATGGTAAATAGCACAGAAGTGAAGAAGAAGGCGAAAAATTTGCCCGAAGTACCTCATATTAAACCCCGTTTTTACGTCCATAAGACGAAGAAAGGGCTTGCTCGGATGAGCTCGCACTTGCTGATGCCACCTTTTTCTCCTTGACCTCCCTCTCACCAAATTAGCAGCGGAACAACCGCACCATATCCCTGGTTTTACTCTTGATTATTATGTAGGGTATAGTCAGGGCCAGTGGGCGGAGCTGTGGTTCCGTCGCAAGCAAGCAGCGCCTTTCTCACGTACTTTTGTGCGGCGAAAGCAGTTCATACTCCATGCTTGCAGGCAGGTTTACCATCACCCATTCCCAAAGAAGGCAGCTGAACATCAAGTGAACGCGTGGCGTGTCTCTATGCGAAGCACGTAGGAACTTTGTAGAGGGGGGCACTGCCATGATTGGCATTAAATCCCTGATTTTGATCTTATTATCATGCACTGGTTATGCAGTGAATGCTAATTTTGTAGAATTTGGTATCTTCAGCTAAGTATCTAAGACTACGAAAAACGGTCTTGTGATACTGTAGAATCTTATTTTCGCTTTTCTAGGTGGCTGTGCAATCTCCAGCAGCCCACTCGGAACGAGGGTGGTCAGCTCCGACATCAGTTGAAAGAACGGATTCAGTTGCAACCACATCCGATGACGGTGGTCGTGTTCAGTTCGTGAGCCCTGATCCTGAATCGCTACATTCTCGGACACCCACTCCTACTCCATCAGCATGTTATGAGATCGAAATTAGCCCCGACGACACATCTACGGCGCAGTCTCTCCTTACTGAAGGGAGCTCTTGTGCTTCGGATGAAGTTCATAAGAGAAACATTCCTCGCCTGCAAGATCACAAAAGTGAGCAAAGTGGTGCCAACGGAATCACTTCTATTCCTGAGATGTCACTACGGCCACGTGTAGTACCTTCACGAGATCATCCGTACGAAAGAACAACGAAAGTTGATAGATCCGTCAGTCCAACAACGACCTCGTTGCTGCTGAACTCAATGGTGAAGAGGCTGGAAAAGTCGACTGCATCTGAGCGACGAACATATTCTGCTAGACCAGTCTCGTCAGGATCCAGTGAAGGAAGCCCATCTACTAATGGTCAGTCAGTATGTAGAGATTTTCCTGGAAGTCTTTTTTTCTGATTTTTTTGCGTATAGAAAGATCAATTTTTCACGTATTATATTTTTTAGGATCGAGAGGCACCTACAGACTGGCAGCGGTTCCGAGAGCTGCTTCACACGTTCATCCGTTTGATGCCGAGTTAATGGCGGTGCGTATTATTAAGTGTTGAGGCGTTTTCTTTCTTCCGAGAGAATGGGAAAAAATCGGAAAATAATGTGGTTCGAACCTTATTCCTCCATTTCAGTTGTGTTTGTGAGGTTCGCTCGACCTCAGTCGTGTGAAGTTGCTAAGTCCGTGCAATACGAACCCCCGCTTCGATGGGGAATACCCATGAAAGATGTGCCCTGATTTCGCCTAGTTTTCTCATAATGAACTTTTCGAGAGCCTCAAACTGGGGCCAATCGAAAATGAATGTAGAAGTCCTGCAGTAAAGAAGAAACGGTTCAATGGTGAAGAAGAAATTGCTGAAGACTCGCGAAGGGGGATCTTATTTCGTCCTTTATTTCAAGCTGCGATGGAATTTTCAATGCAGCCCCCTCCTATCACACCAGTGACGAAGCATGCAAAAACCGCGTTTTGCTGCCACAGGAGCCGACGAAGGGGACTAGCCGGGTCTCCATTTTCAAATGGGTGTACAGTAAAGAGTCGGCTTCATTGTTTCTCAGTTGGATTGTGAAGTCACTTCGAGTATGCTTTTCGTCAAGAAACAATGAATATCACCGGCCAACAAATCTGATTTTCTTTTTTACTAAGAACAACCAACTCTTCAGGCCTACCAGCCTAGTGTTTGTCGTTGCCGTTGAACTCGTTGCCTTTGAGGCATAACTTCCGACTTACAGAACACAATTTCTCTTAGCTGATTTAACCCTCGGGTTTGGTTCAAACGTTTTAGTTTCTTATTTGAGTCCCTAATTTAGCCGCTATTTCACGCATTGTATGCGTACCAGCTCGAGCCTAGGCGATCAGGGCTTGCTATCTATGTATATGGACCATTATTTGGTTCTAGTCGGGCCGATGAGGGTAGGCACAACAATGAGGCTGCCATGTGATTATTCTCGCAAGCCATTTTATAGAGCAAATATGCATTCCCACAGCTTAAAAATACGTGAGGAAAGCGCGATCCGCTCGCGGCGAAGCATTGCCCACATGAACCCTAGAGTTTCCTTTCTAAAGGCATCCTGGTAGTGTGATTGTTTGGCTACTGGTCTCATCATCTGGAGAGATGAGAGTGAGGTGATAAGGAGAAGGAGCTGACACCAACAAGTGAGAAGTTGTCCGACCACCCCCGCTCAACATGTTGTTCACGTGCAGTCGGCTCAGCGTGAGGTTCTATATAAGCCTTTTTAGCTGTTTTTTTTCTGCTTTAACTTCTTGTAACTTACCATTGTCAAAGGAAAGAGTTGATAAATTTGTCGAGACGTCCTAAATAAGAACCCGGGTTTTGGATAAGTCTCCGAAGAAGCGAAAGATTCCTGCGCTGGGGTGAAAACTGGGGACAAACTTTGAAAGAGAAGGAAAACGAGAGAGTCTTCCGGGTTAGTCTTACACCCAGTAAACGCTGCTCGTCAACCCCTGTTCCACGGCTGGGTTAAGCAACCTAATAGTTGGCCTTCTTCCTAATAATGACGACCGCAGCGCCCTTGTCACTCACTGTTGAGCCACGAATGTGGGGCAGCGTCTGGGATTGAGGAGCAGACACTAGCAGAAGATCCTACCCAGGCGATAACGGAGAACCGCTTCAAGGAGACTGGGCTTCACCAAAAATTTGTTAAATGCAAAATACCAATATGCTTAGTTGGTTTTCGAAAGAAATTTTTGAGTTTTCTGTTTCAGGAAGAAAAACCTGTTGATCTGTTGAAAGGAGAGGAACGGTCGAATGAAACCGGTGAGGAAGCCTCAGCTTATATCATTCAGTATGGCTTTTATCCTCAGTGTTTTCAGAATCGCAA